CTGCTGATCTAGCAGTAGCCTGCAGTGCTGCATTTAACCACTGCGCCACCTTGGCTCTTGACCCTGTGACCCTGGAGATGCCACAACAATCGTTAAGTGAGCAAAATGGTCATAAGTCTCTTTTTTCAGTGCCATTGCAACTTTGAACTGTCACTAAACAAATGGTTGGAAGTCGAGGACTATCTGTGTTAACATGAGATTCCAGATGAGCTTTTCCCAGCCTTCATTTTAGATGTGTCCCATTATGTCTCACAAAGTGTGCCTTGGTCTAACTTTTTGCGTAGCCACCTTTTATGTATTATGCATCTGGGCAAATTCGTGCATTTATAGAACTGGAATAAGGACCTTCCTTGCTTGCTTCAATTGGACTAGCATATTTTGTTTGTGCTAAATTTATGTCCTGGCTTTTCTTCATAACCTCAAAACATTTGTCTGTTCATTCCGAACATTAAAATGAATGTTTAAGAGGGCCAGCGGTGTCGATTGATCTAATTAATAAATAATAAAGATAGCAGAATGATGTAATCTCAGGTACTGCTTTGAGTTTAGAAAAACCAGAAACGAAACCAAGAAAAGATGGAAAAGGTCACATGGACTACCCCTTATAGCTTCTTGCATCCTGCTTTCTACAGAATGGTCGAACTGATCAGAAAAATATATAGCGTTAAAGAACAAACATTCATTTATTGATACAGTGTTTGAGTAGAAATGGAAACATGCAAAATGTACACAACCTGTCTAAAGAGCTTCCAAAAGGCATTTTTTTAAGGGTATCAGTAATTTCATGTTAGGGAGGCATAGCTATAGCTATGACGCTGAACTTGTCGATCAGAAAGGTCGACAGTTCAGCGGTTCGAATCCCTAGCGCTGCGTAACGGAGTGAGCGCCCATTACTTATCCCAGCTTCTGCCAACTTAGCACTTCTAAAGCGTGCAAAAATGCAAGTAGAAAATAGGGACCACTTTGGTGAGAAGGTATCAGTGTTCCGTGCACCTTCGGTCTCTAGTCATGCTGGCCACATGACCACGGAGAAGTCTTTGGACAGCGCTGGCTCTTCGGCTTTGAAGCAGAAATGAGCACCACCCCCTAGAGTCGGGAACAACTAGCACATATGTGCGAGAGGAACCTTTACTTTTGCCTAATTTCATGTTTGTTTACATACTTGATATGGAATTGACTATGTATGAGCTTAGGTGCATGTAACCCATTTGCAAAGGACTTCGTGCAGGGCAATGCCATTAGCGATGCAACCTCTGAATGTTCCTTGAGGAACTAAGGCCGTCACTTCTTCAAAAACGCACACTTCAACCACTTCAAGGGCCTTCATAGACACATTAATACATACTGCTCCCCACCCCAGCCACTTATATACAAAGTACACTTTGGCTAGCCATGGTAATTGGGCAAAGCCACTCCAATCATTGGCAGGTGTAACTAACTACAATTTAGAAATAATAATGTGTTTAGAACTCATTTATTTATTTATTTATTTATTTATTTATTTATTTATTTATTTATTTATTTATTATGTATTTATGCTGCAGGTGAAAGCGGTATACTGCAAAATTGGTGATACTGTTGGGGAAGGAGATGAACTTGTGGAATTGGAATAAATCGTTTCTTTCTAAACTTACCACAGTCGGAGTAGCCTCTTTTATGGTCAACCAGAAATTAAAATGAATGCTTATGGAAAGCAAAGGAGTTACAGAAACTCAACTATTGCTATCCTTTTTTTTAAATTACTAAAAAACAAAAACAAAATAAAAATGGAGTGAGTTGATTTAGGTCAGCTTTCACAACTTCAATTAACATTTCCCTGAAACTTGCACTTCCCTATATTATAAATATTTGTATATATGAAATTTGTAATTCTTTTCATTAGATCTATTTACATGAACAAAATTAATAAAATCAACATTTTGGCATATGGCAAGTGTGATGTTTAAAGTTTTTAAGATAAACTATTTTAAGATGTTTAAACTTTTTAAGTGTGTGTATGTATATATGCTATTGGCAATATATTCTGACAAATTTGTCAGTAAAAGTATATTAAAATACTTAAGATTTTCCTGCACAATCTGAACTTTTATGTAATGAGCTTGACCATATGTTGGCATTATGAGTCTAGCTGACAAGACTTTTCTTCTATCCAACCAAGGACAAAATTGAGCTATTTTGATGCCTTTCAGATGTTACCAGATTCATACACTCAGATGAAGGATATAGATGAATTTTTTGATGGAGTAGCTTATCAGAGACCAACTAAGATAGCAGATATAAGGCACAAAGAATCAAGTTGCTGTTAATCAGATTTATTGTAATGCATATAGACAGGAATCTAGTCAATTAACAATCAGCACTAAATTGGCTAGATGAGAATTAAGGGAATTCAAGAGAGGCTGGACTTGGACTGCTTATGGGTTATGCAGACTCCAGGCTGATTCCTCTCTTGACTCTGCCTCTCCTTCCCTTGCAGCAGATGAAGAAGCAATGTACTATTGCCCTCTGCTCTCATTATATACTGCCACATTTAAGAAAGTCTAGATTTATTTCAAATGGAAGAGACTACATGTTTCAGGTCCTATAACTCTAAAAAATAGTGTGATTTTTAAAAAATATCAAAATCTATGTCAACTTATTTGAAACCAGTAGCAATATATGAATTTTGTCCAATTTTAACCCACACAATTAACAATTTTAAGAGGATTCATATTATGAAGAAAAGCAGCATGATGTATTAAAATTATATACAGTATTGCAAGAAGCTAATGGCAAAAAAGAAATACCATATTTTTAGGACTACACGCACCAGAAAATAAGATGCACCATGATTTTGAAGAGGTAAATTGAAGAAAAAAGTTTTTGCACTCTGCAGGCCTCCCAAACCCTCTGCATGCCTCGTTTTTTGCAAAAATAAAAATAAAAAAATAAAATAAAATAAAAATAAAATGGGGGGGGCATGCAGAGGCTTTGGGAGGCTTGTAGAGTGCTCCTGGGGGGTGGGGGGAATGAGCAAAAACGGTGTTTTGCTCGTTTTTGCCCTCCCCAGCCCCTAGGAGCACTTTGCAAGCCTCCCAAACCCTTTGCACGTCCATTTTTGCAAAAGGGGTAGGGTTTCGGGAGGCCAAAAATGCTGTATTCAGTGTATAAGACGCACCCAGATTTTCACCGTCTTTTTTGAGGGGGAAGGTGCATCTTACACTCTGAAAAATATGGTAGGTACATCACTGATATAAAAAGCTTATGCACTGATGATAAAAATGCAAGAATACTGATGATTCAGAACTTTCAACCAAAAATAAGCAATGCAGTTTTAAATAGCTGAAGAAGATATTAGGAGGCAATTTATATATACTAAAATCAACAGCCAAGTAGAAATATTAACCAGAAATGGGCCGTTAGGAATGAAAAAATAAGACATAATAGTATTACTTTTGCTTCCTCTTCCATTCATGTCCTCCCCCCATTCATTCATTCCACATTTTGGGAAGAGATATGACTATTTGAATATTGATGGTAGTCTAACACAGTGTTTTTCAACCACTGTGCCGTGGCACACTAGTGTGCCGTGACATAGTGTAAGGTGTGCCGTGGGAGAATTACTTTATATATAGTCAATATAGGCACAGAGTTAAAATTTTTTAACATTTTCTAATGGTGGTGTGCCTTGTGATTTTTTTCATGAAAAAAGTGTGCCTTTGCACAAAAAAGGTTGAAAAACACTGGTCTAACATAACTGAAATATTTAAATTACCCTGTTAACCTTAGCAAGGCAAATGAGTGCTGGTGTTCGGATCATTCTTTCAACATCTTGTTCAGTTGGACGTTCACTTAATAATATAAATTAATTCAATTATGTTCTGAAGAGGTAAATTAGGACTGCATTTCAGCATAAAATAGTAAAGATGTTCTTCTGCACCTGGGTAGGTGTTCATAGCTAAAAGTATTGTTTGATTTTTCTACTTCTATTCTCTGCTTTCTCTCAAGACGTACAAAAGATTATGCTTCCCAAAAGAATCATAGTCATCATAGTAAGGGAGATGCATCCATTCAGGCTGGTAAGTTGTAGTGCTGTACACATCACATTCCAGGATGTTGTTAATTGCTGATAGTTCTTTAGATGTGCTATTTTTATTTTCCCACTCGAGTACCTCAACTCTCATTGGAGTACGCTGATACATGGTTGGGCATCCTTCAAATTCATCAAGGAATTGCAACATCTGATCATCAACGGAATATATTTCTCCAGAAACACGGTGCCCCTTTCCTGGATTATTCAGCAAATAAGGGATATTGTATTTGCCTGCAATCACCAGTGGGTATTTCTCCACTGTAAGTCCTCTGCCCTGGAATTGGGATGTCCCATGAACCCCATTTATCATGTGGGGGTAGTTTGGCTGGCCTTTCTTCAGTGTCCCGTAAACGAAGACACGGGCCATTCTTCCAACTGAAGGGACTGAAAAAAAAGCAAGGAAGCATTAATTTTTGCATTAGCAGGCTTTTTCAATCTCTATGTCAGCAATAAATACACTTGTTTAAAACAAGACAACAGTATAAACTGCTGTTTCTCACATTTGTAAAAACCTATCTCTACAGTAAATGTAATGTGTAGTTGATTATTGTTATGCATATTAGACAACTTCCCAATTGTAATAAGTTAATTTCTTTATAACAGGGATGAAAAACTCGATTTCATTGAGTGCTGCATCAGGGTTGTTTGACCTCGGGGAACCAGGGGTCAGGGCTTGGCCAGGGTGGGTGTGGCCAGCTCAACATCACTTGTGTTGACACCTGTGGTTGCCTGAGCACTGTCAGAGAAAATGGATTCCTGAGATCCGTTTTTGGCTCTGATGGCCTCCTGCAACTCTCTGCCAGCGAAAATGGAGCTTGGGAGGGCCGCCCATGGCCCCCTCAAGCTCCATTTTTCCTGGCAGAGTCACCGCAGGCTGGTCTTTTCTTGTTTCCAGCGTGGCCCAGTAGACCAGATCTAAGCACCTTGCAGGCTGGATCTGGCCCCCGGACCTTGAGTTTGATACCCCTGCTTTATAAAGTTCTACTGGGTCCCACAACTGCATAAAAAAGTCTTATGATTTGAATTAAGTAGCCGTACACGTGATTCCAGTGCTTTCTGCACCTACAATCTGAGCTAATAAAAATCACTTCTCTTCCCATCCGATCTGGCAACTGTGCCCAGTTGAGAATGGTTTAACACATTCCTCCAAAAAAGACACTTATTACAAACAATTATTAAAGAGCTTTAATGTTCAGTAAAAGAATATTGACAATTCAGCAAAGATCAAGACAGTTTCAAGAACCTGTGTCTGCAGTATCATAACTTTGCCTTTAAATAATTAAATAGAACAAAGGAAAAAAGCAGGACAAGAAATTAAAAGGGAAAAAAATCAAAACAACAAAAAATCTGATATAAGGGCTTTTCATACTTTTTAAAAATAAAGTTCTACTTAAGAGTTAAAATAAATAATGAACCAGTTTGGTCTAATAGGCACGAGGCCAGAAAGCAGGAGACTTTCAATTCCTACCTTAGGCATGAAAGCCAATTAGGTGACTTTGGGCCAGTTAGTCTCTCTCATCCCAATTCACATTAACTCTGAATAACAGAATTGGAAGGGACCTTGGTGGTCTTCTAGTCCAACCAGCTGCTCTCCCCTCAGTTAATCTTTTAGCAATTAGTACGGAGAAGCCTTCAGGAGGGNACACCTTTTAGGTCACATGACTTTGCTTGCAAAATTGATGGGAACATAGAAGTAAGATGACTGGACACCCATGTTATTGTGTAAACAAAGCATCATTCTAGATTAGCAAATGACAGTTTTTTAAAAAAAATCCTTTACAAAGAAATGAATATTCAATATGCATACCATAAGTTGATTTTAAGTATGACAGGAATATTATTTGTTAATATATTTCATTCCCCCCCCCCTTTTAGGATCAGAATCTAAAAGAATAAGAACTGTAAATTTTAAATACAATTGAAAAATATAGTATCTTAGCAGGTTATAAATATAAAATGTATAAATGGTTATAAATTACAGGTTATAAATATAAAATGTATAAATGGAAAGAAGGCACAAAAATAACAAGAAACCTTTCTTGAAAAATTTAAACACTTTTGAGAAGTTTCACTCAATTTTCCCTGATGTTTTTGACTGGTACATGCAGGAGAAACATTAAGCAGTATAAGCCCACACATGCCAATAAGTATATAATTTGATATAGAGCAGCTCTGAATGGAGTCACCGAAGCAGTAGGCATGAGCTTAAATGGACTCCAGAGGATGGTAGAGGACAGGAAGGCCTGGAAGAACGTTGTCCATGGGGTAGCGATGGGTCAGACACGACTTTTTGTGCTCTGAATTTGATTTTCTGACTTTGTATAATATATAGAATAATTTCAGTATTGAATGTCTTATATTCAGAGCTTATATTAATATTACTTTTCTTTATAATGTACAATTTTGTAATAGGAATTTTAACTAAGGCTATAGATGGTAGTTCTTCTGTACCATTTGTTTACTATATATATGCATTAGGTGAAACGGATTATATTTCAATTTCTACTTATTTAAATAAGAATTTAGTCATGATTTATTTATTAATTTCAATGAATTTTCCTGAAACATTATTAAACAAAATAAGCATTAAAGATTGGAAGGGAGGCTAATTTTTAAATTAACCTGACCCTATTAATTGACCTGGTATTTGAGACCATTTTACGGAAGAATCGTAAATCGATGCGGTCAGTGTTTTGGAAGTAATGTTACAAAATCTCCGAGGCAAACAGGAATACTCTTTATATTCTCCCTTTCTGTTCCACGTCTTCAATCCCCTTCAGAATCTTGTTGGTCCAGAGTGGATGGCGTGGTCCACACTGTCTTCTTCAGAAGCAGTTTCAAAGAGAATATTAGGGAAAAATATTATATTTCAGCCATGATATTTAATTGTTCTAAGGCAGGGGTCTCCAACCTTGGCAACTTTAAACCTTGTGGACTTCAACTCCCAGAATTCCTCATCCAGCAAAGCTGGCTGGGAGTTGAAGTCCACAAGTCTTAAAGTTGCCAAGGTGGGAGACTCCTCTTCTAAGGAAACAATGTGTTCAATCTCATGCATAGCTGCAGGTTTCATAGGTAGATGGAACTGAATTATGGATCACTAGCTGCCTGCTTTCCTCTACTAGCAGTGTCCAAACAGAATCACTTTATTAATGTTCTGAAAGATTGAAACAGCTTGATGGCATATTTTTTATTTTTTTAACCTCAGTTCTATCTATTGCTTTTACCAGGTTGCAGAAGGTCAAGAAATTTGCGTGATCGAAGCTATGAAAATGCAGAACAGTTTGGTTGCTTCTAAAACTGGCAAGGTATGTCTTAGTTACACTCCAGTGTCTGATAATACTCGACAGGTTGAACATAACGCTATTTAAAGAAAGCAAAGTATTACTCAGAAAATCTGGCATTACAGGGAATTATACTGAGACTGTAGTGGTATACCAGGACTTGGACTACCAAAATGTTTAATGTCACAATTTAATAGCGAAAACATCATTTATTCCTGGAATGTTCCAGCTGGGTAACCTTGGGCCAGTCACTCTCTCTCGGCCCATTCCACTGCACTCCATTGTTGTAGGAAACCGGGTTGGATATGTTCATTGCCTTGAATTATTTGTAAAAATAATAAAGGTGGGATATAAATAAACAAATAAAACAATAAAAGTAAAATACAAAACACTACAGTTAGACTTTGACCTATGACCATAGCTGAGGCCAAAATTCCTGTCACCAAGGAAAGCAATCGTTAAGTGAGTTTGGTCCCATATTATGACTTTTTTTTGCCACAGTTGTTAAGTGAACCATATGGTCATTAAGCAAACCTGGCTTTCTCCACTGACTTGGCTTATCGAAAGATGGCTGGGAAGGTTACAAAAGGTGATCACATGATCCCGGGACAGTGCAACTGTCCTAAATACATCCCAAATGCCCAATTTTGATCAATAGCAATAGCAATAGCAGTAGACTTATATACCGCTTCATAGGGCTTTCAGCCCTCTCTAAGCGGTTTACAGAGAGTCAGCCTATTGCCCCCAACAATCTGGGTCCTCATTTTACCCACCTCGGAAGGATGGAAGGCTGAGTCAACCCTGAGCCGGTGAGATTTGAACCGCTGAACTGCTGATCTAGCAGTAGCCTGCAGTGCTGCATTTAACCACTGCGCCACCTTGGCTCTTAGGTAGATAGGTAGATAGATAGATAGATAGATAGATAGATAGATAGAGAGAGAGAGAGAGAGAGAGAGAGAGAGAGAGAGAGA